CTTAATCACTCATTCTTAAATAAAAGAAAAAAAAATATTTCATCTATTTTAATTTTAAAAAATGGTGGCCAAACGGGGCCTAAAAGTATTGAATTTGTAAGGATCCGTTTGATTGCAAAAATGAAATTGAATTGAATTGAAAACGAATTTTAGGAGATTGAATTGTCTAGAAATTATTTTCTTGGGAATTATAAATTGTTGTGTTTGATTGGTATAATTTCTCATGTGCAAAATGTTGAAATTTTGAATTTTTTGGTGTTCTTTTGATCTTATTTTTCATGAAAATTGTCAATTAAATAGATAATTTTTTTGTTGATAGCTTTTGTTTCCATGGTTGGAAAAAAAAAAACTGGAAAACCGAATTCCCACCAAAATGGTGGGAATTAGTTTTCCACCATTTCAAGGAAAAGGCACATGTGTGGGGGAAAATGTGGAAATCGAATTCCTTAGAAAATTTAGCAATCAAACACCACATTTTGGTGGAAAATAAAAAATGGTTTCCATTTTCCATAGAAAATGTGTCCAATCAAACATGATCTAAATGTTTTTGTGTTAGTCAATTAAAAGTAGCTTTTCTTTGAATGACACATTCTCTATTTAATTATAGTCCAAAGAATAGGTTGTCTCACCATGTGTATGTCTAATAAGATCAGGAAAGAAAATTTGGAATGTCTCACCTAATCCTGGTTCACACATGCTGATGCAAGTTTAGTTATATATTTGTGGTATAAATATAAAATGTGAAAGAAATAATCAAATTAGATAAAGTGTCAAAGTGGCGGGAAATGTAACAACCCACTAATAGTCATTAAAACATCAACTACTCAGTCATTAAAATTCTGTATTAACATGGTGAAGATTGTTACTACCATCTTGCCTATATAAACCCATATCTTATTTTGGAAAAACACACACAAAAAGACAATAGAAAAATCATCTTGCATCAACCCTCCTTTTCATATTCTGAATTTCTTATATTCGGGTTTTACATTTATTCTGGAGTACAATTGAGAGTTCTAGAAAAATCATTCATGATTGCTGCACAAGTGGTTTACGATCGTTGTATCCTCGGAGTGATTGTCCACGGAGGTCGCAGCAATTATTGACGGGTAATTTCACTTTAGGACATCGTGCTGTCATGAGACTCGATCGGACGATAAATTTTATATTTCTACATTATATTGTTTAGATCACAACTGCAGCTAATTAATTTTTTCCAACAAGTTTTCCTCTAGTTACGATAGCATGGATCACACCTTCCCATCGCAAGGGTTATCCTTTTCTTCCCAGTTCAAGTTAGCCCTAAATGTCTTCTTTGATTCATCTTCAGGCCTTGCTTATTTGCTTCGTGAGCCCTTTATCTTCATATATTTAGACTTTAGTCCCCACCTTCGTAATCTATTTCTCTTCAGTCATATTCGATTTATGCTCCAAATGCATTCAAGTATGAGTTTTACCTATAATTAATAAAATTACACTAAAATATATAGAAATATGATCAATTGGCAATAATTTATTGAGTCTAATAGTACGGATAATTGAGTAAAAATACACTTATCACTCATCAAAATAGAAGTAATTTTGAAGACTTTGAAATCATTTTGCCTTTGGCATTAAAATTGTTTTCGCCATCTTAGACAAAATAATTTTTAACATACTCTCCATACCATATTAAGCTCGATATCTTATTCCTCTTATATGGTGTACTAAATTAAGAGCATCTTCAGTTGTTTTTTAAAGCAAATTGAACTTAGATCTAAGTTACTTATTTATCAACATGATTTTTAAAATTATATTATTTTACCATGAAATCTTAACTTAGTTTTTCATAAAGTAAATGAAGCATGGTTAAAAATGATCATTGAAGTGCCGAATATTCCACAAGTGTGGACCAGGAAAAGTAGTGGTTGCACTCTTTCCACATCCATTGAATTATTGTGACAATTTGATTGGCTAATTAACAAAGAAATATATGGCAGTATAATGAACATCGTTGTCGAATAAATGAATAACATTTTGCACTAACTTTAAACAGAGAAAAATGGCTCTAATCAACTTGGGGAGAGTTGGGCTATTAGGGTTTGGGAGACCAATGAGGAAACGATTAAGGTTTCTTCCGGGTGTATGGTAAGGGGGATTCATTCTCGACATTAGAAGGACTCGACTCACTTATTAGTGTAATGGGGATTAGGTTGTATTAAAAAGGAGATAATAATTAAGGTTTTTTTATTTAATTGTTTATCATAATGTAATGACTTGTAAGCGTTAACATATACACAAATAATGAGGTACTTTAGAGGTTTATCAACTAATTTAACAAGATAACAGCAAAAGTAATAAAAGGCAAGCCTAGAAGGCCAAGGCCGAAACTATCAAGTGGTCGAGCCTCATGCGAAGAGAAGATCGAGGTCGAAAGGTCCTTAAGTCACAAAAAGACTGAATTCATATTTGAATCAAAAGGTTGAACTGAGCTCAAGAGAAGCAAGAAGTATTAGGGCACGTTTAGGAGTTTTGCTCCTTGCATAGGAGCTTCCGAATGAAGTTATCTTAAATAATGTCTAAAAACTAATTTCTAAAATAACTCTCTCTTTTGAAAGAGCATTGGAGGAGCTTCATTTAAAAGTTCTTTTAATTTGAAGAAACACTTCTATAAAATTAACTAAACGATTTAAAAGCAATTTTTGAATCTCTTTCGATTGCTCAATAGTCATACCAAACGAGTTTTACTTTTTTATAGATATGAAGAGTTAGCAACACTCGTGTGTACAAACTATCATATATGTATAATTTATAATTCTCGTATTTGTTGAACATGAAACAAAGCAGAGTTGATAGGCCGACGTGCACTTGTTATTGACTGTGGTAGGTGTTTCATTGACTGGCTGCTTCGCCGCCACCATTTATTTTAATATTCTTAACATTTTTCATTTTAAGAAGCTGAAATTGACTCTAGATTGAGCTCCATCTTCACGGAAATTTGAGAAAAATAAATTTTGAAATAATAATTTTTTGAAGAATGTAATAAAAAATAAGGAAAAATTTTAAATTACGTGTCATATTATTTTATGAGAAAATATATGATTGAAAATGAATTATTAAAAAAATGTGAGCCAAACGTCCGATGATAGATTTCTCTGCCTTTGTTTGACCATTCGTTCAGCTTTGATCAGAAAAAATAGTCGTAGAATTTAACAATTTTGATTTGAAAACATGTGCTTTGACCACTCAAATTTCCACAAAAACGCTGCCAGAGAATAATCTAGGTAGAACCATGGAATAAGAGGATAATACGAAATTGATATTTTTTTGTTTTCACAAAACTTTTTAATTTGTATCGATTCTTAAAAATGTCAGAAAATTAAGCGTTAAACACTTGTTAATATACACGAATATCAATTACGTAAGAAATTGAAAAATAAAATTTTTCTAATTTTTACTATTCAACCATTAAAATCAATAATTCTACGTTCAAAGTTTTAATATTAATTATATCATTCAGTTTAAATAAACTATAAAATGCATAAATAAAAGAACCAAAACTTTAAAGTTAATTATGCTCTTGTTTGAATCCCATTATAAAGAGAATTTTTGGTAAAATGTATTATAAAATTGTATTTTTTGGGAGTGTGTATGGTTAAAAAAGAAGGAATTTTATTTATTTATATATAATATTATTTTACTGAAAAATGTTTGGTTGAAAATAATGTACTAAAATTTTAAAGAGTGTCAAACAATAACTATATCGTCCAGTATCAATCTCCGTTGCTTTTTGTGCGACATATGTATGGACCAAAATAATTGAACATTGCATTCCCTTATTAGTTATTTTCAAAAACATGAAAATAATTAATTTTGTGGTTTCTTGATACGAATATAAAAATCAAGAGAATATATTATAATGCACAATTTAAGAGTATTAACTATAATTAACAATGAGTAGAAAAAATGTTCTGACGACGTGGAGGTTTATGTTTATTCATTAATATCAACTATAATTAACAAAGCGTAAAAAGATTGCCGTGGAATAAGATTTAATTTTTTATTGGCTTCTAGAAATGCGACGAGTACATAAGAAGGTGATGAAGAAGGATATGTTAAATCAAAATCAATAATTAATTTTAATCATACACTTTATTGGATTCAAAATTTTTAAGAAAAATTTCAACCGCACATAACATCGATCAAAATATATTAAAAATCTCATTTTTAAGTGAAAACCAATCAAGAGGTAAATGTTATTGGGTGAATTTTATTTGTTATGAGTTTAGGTACAACTGCACAATTAGATTATTTTTCACCCACTTACTTTCAACCATACATTCTGACAAAAATAATAAATAAAATAAAATAAAAAATCACGCTTTTCAATAACTTTTTCTTATCTTCAACCTTGCATTCTCAAAGAAATCACATTTTAGATAATCACTTTCCCACGGGCACTTGATGAAATTGTGAGAGTTTTCTTCAATATCATTATTCTAAGTTTCACTATTCGTGTGTGAATCAAAGTTTGTAATACTTAATTCTAACGTTTTTAAGAATCAACAAAAATTATAAAATGATTGTGCACTAAATTATCATAAAATCAACAAGACTTTGATTGCATCTCCATTCATCCATTTCATTTTATATTTCTGTCGACACTAGAAGTTGATCGCAAAGTCACGTGATTTTCAATTAAATCCTTATTTGGTAGAGATTAAAATCAAATTTTTAGTAAGATTTTCATAACAGTTGATGAAATGCGTAATTAAAAGTTGTGAATCATATGAAATGTATAATTAAGATTAATTGTTGATCTTGTCTCAAATTTTTATAAATTTTCTTAGTGATACCTAACAGGGGCTAAGATAATTTGCAAAAGTCATCAATGGTCCTTTTCTTGTTTTTTTCCATTTTATTTTTTTTAACTATACTTGCCCTCCACGACTCCAACCTCGGGATAAAAATTTCTAATTAATATATAACTATAGCCATCAGTCTACGTTCCAAACTTTAGTTGATCATCTTGCAAACCAAATTTCTCTCTCTTTCTCTCTCTCTCTCATGGAGAATTACCAAACCATATTTCAGTCATCATCTTCAAGTTCTCATTTATCCTTATTGAACACGTTAAATTCTCAAGCACAAACTCAACTCCAAGATCATAACAAATCAAATGGATACTCGAGAATCACAAGTATGGAAATTCCCGGTTCGAGTATTTCAGGTGTTACTCAGAGTAACAGTCTTACTGGGGTGGAAACTGAGGTGAAAATCGGTAAGAAAAGGGGAGAGAAGATATCAAGGAAACCTAGATACGCTTTTCAAACAAGAACCCAGGTCGACATACTTGACGATGGATACAGGTGGAGAAAATATGGCCAGAAAGCAGTCAAGAACAACAAATTTCCAAGGTTTTTTTTTTCTTGTTTAATTTATAATTACTATATATAAAAATTAGAAGTGTATATTTGGACTTAAATGAAGCAAAGAATTAATATATGCTAAGGCATAAGTGAAATTAAGTATAATAAAACATACTAATAGTACTAATTAATTATTCCATTGCAAACAAATGAAAAAACTTATATATTGTAGCCACACAATACTTCCCTTTAATTAAAATGTGTAATTTTTAATTAATGTGAATTGTCAATGTTTTATTTGAATTTAATATTTTGTATATCTAGATTATTTATGATATTTAACTCTACCACTACTATTGCTCTATTATCAGTTTTATCCAGATACTTAAGTAATGTATTAAACATGAAATATTCTGTACAAATGTTTAGGATTTTTAAGTTATTGACAACAAGCTCATTCTGAAAAATGTTTAGTTTAAAGGTAAATAACTAAAAATTAATTTTCTAGATAAATTTTGCCTTGCTTTTTATTGGTTTTATAGTAGTATAATTTTAAATTCATATATTTCTTTTTGCATTTTGGGCAAAAAATGTATTAATTTTGCTTTGTACCTAATTACTGCTTGAGAACTTAAGAATGGAGAAATTAAAGTATTTCTTGCCAGACAGCAGCAAATATCACTAATCCAAACCTTGTAAGTATTTATATTATTTCCTCCTTCCACAATTAGGTCAAAAATGCTATGCTAAATGTACTTTTATTTAATTCTGTGCCTTAAATGATTTGTTTGATAATATAGACTTAATAATACTACACAAAATTTTGGATGAAAAAGTTAAAATTTTTAGCTATAATATTGGCATGATCTACTTTATCAGATATATTCTAAATGTGATGCAATCTTCCCAGTGTCGGTCTTGACTATAGGTGAGGTAGGGGATTGTCTAAGGCCCTCCACACACACACACACATATGGTGAGGTAGGGGATTGTCTAAGGCCCTCCACACACACACACACATATGGTCCCCCAAAATCTCATGGCCGGCCTTGAATCCGCGATTCCAATGATTATGAGTTATTGAAAGCAAAGAATTAGTAATGAACTAGTCTGATTTTTTTACATGCAGAAGTTACTATCGTTGTACGTATCAAGGTTGTACCGTTAAAAAGCAAGTCCAAAGGTTATCTAACGATGAAGGAATGGTAGTTACAACCTATGAAGGGACGCATTCCCATCCTATTGAGAAGTCTACTGATAACTTTGAGCACATCTTGAGCCAGATGCAAATTTACCCTTCAATTTGAATCTTGGGCTGCTCAAAAATATATTGAATGTATATCTTATGAAATATATCGAGATTTAAATTCTAGTGTAAATATTTCAATAAGTTGTGCTATATTTCATGTCAGTACGTGCCATTTTGCACATTTTCTACTAATAAAGGTCCAATTTGCAGTTTATACCTTTCACGGGGGAACAATTGTTCACTTTCTTCCATATTTTCCAAATTCCATGTTGCACGTTTGTAAGCTTGTTTGGCTAAGCTTAAAAGTCGGGAAAAGTTACTATATATATATATATATATATATATATATATATATATAGAGGGAAGATGTAATTTACCTAACGTGAACATATTTTAATTTTTACCATTTCTAGCAATTATAGCAAAAACTAAGTTTAAAAAATATCAAACCCGTCTAAGTAGGAAATGAAACTTTTATTATGTTAAGTTGCTCAATTTATAATTGCATAATTATATGGATAAATTGTAGTAAAAGTCCACAATTTGTGTTTATTGTTTCTTTTATGTCTCCATCTTTTTGTTTCATTCTGATTCTCAATTTTTCATTAATTAGTATATTAATTAGATGTGACAATCTGTTGATACCATTGCCATATCTTGCCAATCAGGTCAAGTTTAAGCCTTGTGTCAGATTTATTGGCAACATAATGATATTAGCATTAAATGTTTATAATTGACTGATACCTTTAACGAGAGTCCTCAACTATGTGGATGAGGCCACATATACTTTCATCCCATGACCTCTATTCATCATATTCTACTATAAAAGCTCATATAACGTGTCATTCTAAAAGTAATGCAAGTTTAGGCTCTCAAACTATAACTTCGATATCCTTACTGTTATTATTACAAAATCTCCCCAAAGCTGACACCTTTTTGTTTCCATTGGTGGCTCGCATCTAAAGTACCTTCCACACTTATATATATACTGTCTCAATTGACTTAACTATTGGAGTACGTGCGGCCTACTTTAGCACCACCGGAGGAAGCTGTGTGTGGCTAACAATTTGTCCAAGTTTATAGGAACTAGGCTTATGGGATGCGGGAGGCCTTAAGATTGTTGGCTACGTTGGAGGTACAAAATTCCAAGTCAACAGATTGACGTCGTCTACGGAAAACTACACTATACCACGAATATCCTTTCAGTAAAAGCTATCAAGAAAAAGTGTTGTTACTCTCCCATTGAAGAAAGGTCATTGTTCTTGAGGGAAGAACAAGTGAAAGTGCTAAAAAAGTGATATTTGGAGTATCGTGCTCAAGTTGACATACTATGAGTTTCAGCAATTATGGATCCCATGTAAGAAATGAATGGGAGACCTCTAAAAAAGAGATCTTATGGACCGATGTCAATATTCGTAGACCCCATTACCAGCAAACATGAGGAGTGTTACCAAACAGAATATTCACATGCAACAGTTACTTATGCAAATGCAAAGACAAACTAAGTATCAAATGCCTCAACAAAATGCTCTCCAACAAGAGAATGAATATAACCAGAGGGTTTACTCTTAAAGACAAAAGAGAGAAGTTAGCCCATATTAAAAAGTAGAGGTAGACATGTCAACCAATTGCACCTTTAGTCGAAGGGCCTCAAAGGTCTTCCAGTAAATTTGACAAAATTGGCCCGTCAGTTCCTAGAAATAAGTCCCAACAAACACCTCCTGTACAAAGGCCTCAGGAGTATATGAAAAGTTATAGGCCCCAAGAGGCCTCTTCGCCTAAAAATAGGTGAAAGAGAAGGGATGCAGCAAATATGAGAAACTAGGCGGTCCATCACAGACACCTCGTTATCAAGCTAAGGAAGAAGATTCAGATGGTCCATATAGGTCCTTCGAATAGGATAATGATGATGATAATTATGAAAGTCTCCAAACCATTTTGTACCACCAAAAATTCTCAAGTACAAGGGAAAAGGTGATCTTACGAAACATCTTAACAACTACAAGACTCACATGAGCTTGAGGAGTGCCTCGCCCGCATTAAAGTATAGAGCCTTCCATCCTGGACTTACATGAGCTATTGAAATATAGTAGAGTTGTATACCAGTTAGGAGTATTCAAAGTTGGCTGGACCTTAAAAAAGCCTTTTTGAATCAATATTTATCAAGTAAGGATGGAAAGGCCCCCATTCAATGTCTATAGGATATGAGGCAATAGACAGGCAAAACTTTGAAAAGTTATTTCCATTTTACAAATGAAGTGACTTACTGTGAAGAAGTCATCGATAGAGAGGCTCTTTCAGCTTTGAGATGAGGCCTCAATATGAATCCCCTTTTTCAAAGGGATGTGTAAAACAAGAATTCCATCACCTATGATGCCTTAGTAGAAATGGTGAGAAGCGACATAGTCATTGAGAAACTGATAGACCATCACAATTGAACCTATATGGGACTTCTATCCCCCTAAAGGTAAAGACAAGGTTCTGTCTTACATCAGATGAATCGACAATGGACCCAAGCTAGGCATACCATTGCCCCTACTTTAGGTCAAGTATTAGCTACTCTCACTTTGAATGTCGTAACTTCTTTGGCATATGAAAATGTTGGACTTGATATCCAATGCCAACCAAATCACTTAAGAAGCAGAAGTAGAGGTAGGAATAATGAGCCTAGGAACAGGTCATATTGTACTCACCATCGAACTTACAGTCATGGCAAAATGATTACATGTCCATGCTACATCACATGAAACAAACTGGTGCATATTTAGGCAGGAGAGATACTCGCCATACATAACAAAATACGCTTCCATTTAGGCAAGATCAACAACCTCGACAAGAGAAAGCGGCATCCCAGGGAAGAATTCCTTAGATATAGGAGGGATGAAGATAGGAACATGCCTAAAAGTGGCCAAAGACAAATAAGAGACCCCAACAGACACTAATAATGCATCTATTTGGGAAATAGACACTATTATTAAGAGTCCGCATGTAAGGGGAGAATTAAGAAATGTACAGAAGAACTAAAATAGGGATGCCAAGGACCTCCCTATGACGAGCTACGTAGTCAACAACATCCCTCATCAGATTGGAAATAGGCTATCCATTACTTTTATGCAAGAGGATGAGGCAGGTATACAACACCCCCATTGTGATGCATTAGTGGTAAGAGTAACCATGGCAAGAAATGGTCTAAACTGTATATTGTAGATAATAAAAGCTTCGCCAATATCATATTTGGGGCCACTTATGACAAGATGTTGATAGATAATGAGCTTAACTCCATGGCTTTCCCTTTATATGGTTTCACCAGGGATAGTATCATTTCAAGGTGTTGTGTAAATGGGGTATCATTTCATGAAATTCCTAATTGTGGACCATAGATCAACCTATCATGACGTATTGGGAAGGCCTGCATTAAAGAAAATTCTTTACTGAACACGACATCGTAACAATCTAAGGCGATCAAAGGTAATCAAGAGAATGCTATCTCAATTCCTTAAGGAAAGATGAACCTTGTAATGTTAATATGATATTGATTGACACTGAAATGCTTGATGGACCTGGAGAATGACAGATCTTTGAACAAGGGAAAGACATCGAAATGGCAGATGCTTCTACAGAAGGGATAATCCCTGAAGAAGGGCCATGGATAGTGGACTGGATCCTGGTACCATAGAGTCCAATTTTGATAGATATCCAATCATATTTCAAAGATGCTACCAATATTGGGGCAACCAAGTCATTCTATTTAGTTAGTTAAGAGAAAGGTAAAAGCGTAATGGTATTGTAGTAGGGAAATGTCAATAAATGTGAGGGAAAATGGGATGTAGGATTTCTTCATGTACCGATTTTCTATTAGGAAAATGGGGGAGAGACCGGGCCTCTCTAATAGATTGGAACTTGTCTTTTGCTTGAGTTCAAGTAAATCACCTTTAAAAACATCTTGTTGTTTTCTTCAGTCAATTAGAGCGATAATTTCTAGTAGTGACGCTAACATTGAAGCTAAGTGAAGAGGGGTTTTATCAAAATGGTATCAGAGCAATTACCTGAGAATTTGACTCTCAACAATTGAGTAGAGTCCTTGGAAGGAAGACCGACCGCCTACAATTGGAGCTATTTGAGCTAGATGTAATGAAATCTGAATTTAGAGAGCAATGTCTATGATGATGGAAAAAAAATTGGATTTTATGATTAAGAAGTATAAGGGATAGGAATCGAACAGGAAGGAAAAAGTGTTGGCATCTAGCTCAGCTAAACCTATCATCACATCTAAATTTCGACCAAGAATGATGACGAGAGAGTTGATACAGATAATCGGGAACAGCACCGGCCATTGTTACATGAACCTATCAATTGAAGATTCATAAAGGCATCTAGGCTCCATATCAGTTCTGCAATAGCAAAAGGACTTGCAATCAATTTGGCTGAAGCTATCGTTAATTTTGAGATTCCAGTAAAACCCAACGAGATAGGAGAAAGTACATTAGGAAGAGTCATCATGGAGAATCAAGAGAATTAGAAAATCAAAGTCATCTGGAAATTCTAGTGCTAAACAAGAAGAATTCTTCAATAAAAGAAATAAAGGGTCCCAATTAGATTACATTGTACATTATAATATGAAATTTAGCTACTCATAATGAAAAATGAGAAACAATAGCTTGTTATTGAATAAATCACCAAATTTTGAACAAAGATGCAGAAAAAGAGATTACTCTTTCACCAAGATTTTCTTTCTTTTCCAATTAATACTTCAAAACTTGAATTTTCCAATGTTTTACTCCCTTGAATTGCACTTTTCAATCTCTAAGGCCCTGATTGATAAGCCCAAGTTCCATGAAAAATGGAATTCATTTTCCACCAATTTTGTGGCGTTTGATAGCAAAATTTTACACGAAAAATGAATTCCCTTCCTCCACTGACATGACCCATTTTCCATGATTTTGTGGAAATTGATTTTCCATGGTTTTAGTCGGAAATCAATTTCCATTCCTTTTTTTATATTTTTTTTTGACAAATTCTAAGCCCAATTGTAAAAAAATTTAATCCTTTAATTGCCCTGATTGATAAGCCCAAGTTCCATGAAAAATGGAATTCATTTTCCACCAATTTTGTGGCGTTTGATAGCAAAATTTTACACGAAAAATGAATTCCCTTCCTCCACTGACATGACCCATTTTCCATGATTTTGTGGAAATTGATTTTCCATGGTTTTAGTC